GGGGGGGGGCTTCTGGGACATCACTCCCGAACGACATATATTTAGCAGAAACTTTTATCCAAAGCGACATTCATTTGAGGAAGCAGGATCAGACTGTCCCAGGACCAACTGAGGGTTACGGGCCTCGTTCAGGGGCCCAATGATGACATCATCCTACTGACCGTGGGATTTGACTTAACCTGCCAATCATTAGCACAGCATCCTAACCTGCTTAGCTGACGGCTGTTTTATTTATGTGTGAGAAACAAAATGGCTGCCCGCTTTCAGCTGCTTCAGAGTGCAGCTTTAAAGGGGGGGGAGGGTGGTCTGTTTGATCTCTGTGTCCATCCGTCTGTAGGATGGTCAGAGTGCTGGAACGTGAACCAGAAACTTTTAGGCCTTGAGTATAGATACTGGGCCGGTATTTAGCCCCCGCCGCTTGTTTACAGATCTCGCGGGCTGTGGCAGCCTCTCTGTGCCCGCAGTGGATGCCAGGTGATGGATTGAGAGTGGGCTGACGGTCGCCGTGGAGACAGAGTGGCGGTTTGAGCACCCCCTCAGGGTCACAGGCGACTTCACTGAGTGACAGGGAAAGACAGTCAGTTGATCGTGCAAAACGGAAAACCAAATAAGGAACACTGCTACTGGGGGCGTCCCAAGGCTTCTGGGGGCAATTTGTGGCCCCGCCCACGTCTCTTGTGTCCAGTGGACAGTGCTGTGCTGTGCTGTGAAACTGCGTGTAATACAGACACACGAGAGGAAGCGCATCACATCACTCACACAGACACTGAGAGAGTGTCCAGACTCAACATGCCTCACTTTGGACTGGCTGCAGCCATTCTAGTCCTTGAAGGCCCACAAATCACGTCCTATTTATGAGTTATAATAATAGTCACTATGGCTGCACAATTTCCCCACACTCTGCCACCTGTGGAGTTTGCATGTTCACCTCATACCTTGTGGGTTTTCCTGTTTTCTTTCTACAGCAGGAAGCCACACAGTACAGCTAACTGGCATCTCTAAATCAGCCGTATATACGCACCCTGCTAGACTGGCATCTCATCTAAGGCCTACTTCTGGTTCCATTATCCTCTATATGTCTTTATATTTTTATTCTTGCTCTCATTCTTTTACTGTCTAATTAATGCTGCACACATTCATGCATTTTGTGCAGATTAATACCCCGAAGCAGCTTCGTTGATTGGTCAGGGAGAGCACTGTTTGTTTGGCTTTTTTTGCATCTCCATGGAGACTGATCAGCAGACCCAGACTAAGGGCAGCAGGTACTGAACTCCAGGTAGTGTTTTGTATGCTCCCGTTCTCATTAATGTGCTCAGCTGGTTGGATTCTAAGGCACGCGAGTTGAGATTACTTTATTTGCAGTAAGTCCTTTGTTTGCTAGAAGCTTCTGTGCACCTCTGTCCTGCCCCAGTACAGCACCCCTAATGTTTTTGGGTTAACAAGTTACAAATTAAACAGAGTAATAAGTGAAGCAGATGGAGGGTGTGACAGAATTAATGTGTGTCTGTGTGCGCGTGTGTGCCACCCCCACCCTAACCCCCCCAACACTTACAGAGATTAGGACAACAGTCTCCATTAGGAACCGTTAATTAGATTTTCGTAACAAAACATAGTCCGTGCTTGGAACAAGACCCCCCCCCCCATACTGAGCAATACTGCATGCATATCAACAGCTTTGTTAGCCTATTTTTAGGATGGATGGAAAGTGAGGTTTTGAGCATAAGCAATAAAACAGTGGTCTTTGAACGTAAGCATAAATGCAAATGACTGAGACTGATATGGGAACTGCTTCTCTAAATGTCCAAACATAGATATAAGTTGCGTTACACGGCATGTGAGTCTTTTACGGAAAACACTGTAAATCTGTGTAATTATTATAATAATCTGTCTGCGATGGCTTCCCTACCTTGTGCTCCTTGTTTCGGGAAGGGGCTCGGGACCCCCCGCCAGCCTGAATAGGACGAGCAAATATAGAAGATGACTGAATGGATGAGTACACAGTGTTACATTTGGACCGTTTATGCAGGTGAGTATTCTCACACACCCATTCATGTTCAGCACCTCTCTGTGTCGCTGCTGTTTATCGTCTTTGTTTGAGCAGTTGCTTAATGGCTCTGTGACTCTGCTCTACACCACTACTTCTCTCACAACCAGTAAACAGCCCAGACCACGATTGCCGGGCCTTCCCCTCCTAGCCTTTGTCGTCTCCGGCTCGTTCTGACGAGGCGCCAGCTGCCGTTTGTTTTTCATTCCTTCCCTCCTGGTTCGCTTAAGCCTATCTGACACCTGAACCCCGACAAAGTCCCCGTTCCTCTCTCCCTTCGCCATCTCACATGGTTCTGTTGTCCGTCCTGCCTGGAGCGACTCTCAGCGCGGGGGAACAAGGCGTTCTGAAGACGCTCAAGTGAATATCTCAGCATTTTAATGTTAATCTCAGCACTGTATATCTCACTGCAGATGCTACTGCAGCTGCCTGATGCCAGATCATTTCACTGCTCAAAATTCAAAACACTCAAAGCACAATACATTACACTGATATTAATGTACTCTATGATGCTGCTGTGGCTCCATATTTGTTAAGAATTTTTGGGGCAATTGAATCAGGAAGGAGGTGATATACAGTAAATATAGATTGAATCAGGTGGCAACCATCTATTCCAAACTTATTGATTTCTTATAATGTGAGAAAAAAAATGCATTTTCTCAGAAAACTAGGTCGGTTCAGAAAATAAGCCGTCTGTGAACGGTTTAATGTTTCAAATGACTTATATGGATTGTTGTCAGCGAGGCAAATATATCAGTCTCAACAAGATATAAACTAAATAATTAGCAATAATTTTACTTAGCTAACTTTTTAGCTATCAACATTAGGTTGCTAAAATTAGCTATATAAAGTAATCGATACAAATGATAGTCATGAGTACAGAATGGTAGATAGCAAACAGAAATACAGGTTAAAACATATTTTTTTTGGTCAATTAGATATCAGACTCTAACAGTAGACAGAGGAGAACGGGCGTATTCCATCTACAGTAAAAAGTCACAACCGTCAAAAAGTGGACATAAGCGCTTTTCATTGGACACTGACAATATAAAGGTTAAATCGCATAATGATGCCTCATTATGCCGCAACCAACAATGGTCCTCAGATCTATATCTATCAGTCCCCCATAATGCAATTAGTTCAGCTCATTAACTGCACAAAAACAGCTGTAGGACGTAGGTTGCTCCCCCCAACCGGATCACTGCTCCATCTCCTTAGAAATGTCAGAATAACTGGTATTAATGCTCAGCAAG